TCTTGCATGACCGTGAACTTCGTGGGAAAGCCGTGAACTAGTCCTTTTTCACCTCTTCTCCCGGCTTTCGATCGTTTTCACCTAACTTTCGACTCCGAGGCTGGTTTCACATATTGAATCCCAAAACACACACTAAAACACGAGGAACCTAGCGTAAAACCAACCTTTTAACAATGAAATTGGCATAAACACCTAAGTAAAATGGGGGCAAAACATGTACAATTAGGCCCGAATCAAAAGATATTAGTTCTAAAATCGGAACTCAAGTAATATTGATTCAAACATTAATATTAAATTGTATGTGTTGTTTATTTCAGACAAAATACAAAAGTGTAATCAAAACATGGACCTTTGTGACGAGTATAATCATTTTTTTGTGCCAAATCTACACATAATATAATAACAAAATTGAAAATGAGAGTCACATTATAAATTTCGTGGTCTGAGAGTGATTATGGGAAGCTCTTTTTCGTCATAGTTCACAATTTATCTTTATATTATGTGTAGATTTGTAAGAAAAATGTACTATATTTCTCACAAATATCCATGTTTTGGCTACACATGTATTTTGTCTAAAGTGAATCACACATACAATTTATTATTTAATTTTTGAATTAATGTTACTTGAGTTCCGATTTCACAATTAATCACTTTACATAAGATATAATAATTTAAAGTAAAATACCTTTCCTACTTGGTTGAAGAAGCTCTTTCTATAAGATATATTCAATGTTTTAAGATTTTGTATTTCAAATTTTGTGAAGCGAGAGTGAAAGTAGGAAGAGTATTTTTGTCATCACAATTATTATCTACTTCATATGAAAAAAGTATCAATATCAAGATTTGAACCATGGTTTCTTAAAAAAAACATAATCACAACCAATTACACTAAGTAAATATGTTTTGTCTTTATAAATTGTAAACATGCACTAAGCGAAGATTTGAAAAGCAAAGGACTTTTCACGGTTAGCTAGCCTATTAAATCTTATGAAAAGCAAAGTTTAATATGTGATTTATAATTTTTATAACTTATAAAATGACGAGTTATCTTAAAATTGCACCATAAGTTTCATTCCTTAAAATATTACATATCGAACTGCAGTATTGAATATGAAAAGGCGATGTAGAATTACGTAAATTAATATGAATTTTCAGAACTAATACGAAATAACAATATTTTGTACAAATTATAGGTGACTGGTTCTCTAAAATTTTAGCCTGGTTAACAGCTAATCGTTAAACTCTTGCTCATCGGGCATGAATGGACCCGACAATAATGAGACGATATCGAGTTAATTGTGATGTTCATTTCGTCAGTTTTCGATTGGATGTGTTGATCAATTTATATGACATTAACATTTAAATGAGTTATAATTCACCTCATTATACAATTATTACTCTTTGTAATAATTAATTTAATCTTAATATTTGTGATGTTTGAAATATTTTATGTATGATTTAGAGGCATAATTAATATTTGTGACATCAGTTGTAGTTTATTCAAATGTAGTATTTCATCAGGTAGTCATAATAATAATAAAAAAATTCTTTTTACAGTGAAAGTGGTAGTTTCATTGATAAAACGAAACAGTGTACAGAGTTGAGTTAAACTCAATGGAAAGAAAAAAGGATACTAAAAACAAGAGAAAACTAAAGCTGGTCTTAAGGGCTGTCCGAAAAAAAAAACAAGGAAACCATATCCAAACATTTGGACTCCCAAGCACAAACCTTATTAACCCTAGCCCAAAGAAGCCCAATCACCCAGGGCAGGCCGCCGCTTGCTTCCCCAGCACATCTCCTCACTGTCCATCTTCTCCCTGCCAGCAGAAACAGATCCTTCGATGGTGAACGGAAGAAAATGGAGCGTCACCGTCGTCATCAAGGAAGGAGTGTCATCTGGCCAGAGAACGAAAGCATAAGGACAAGACGGGGAGAACTAAATGCCAAGTAGCTCCAAGGTCCACCTGCAAAAAGAAAGTGGAGAAGCAACCACAGAAACTCGGACAGAAGAGTGGCGAAATCCAAATCGTCGGAACCACAACCGATCTGAGCAACCGGCCAGAGCACAACCACAAGAATGACTTCCCTACTCACAAACTCTCTGATGCTTTATCCAAGACGAAAGAGAAAATAACCAAGGAGAAGGAACAAGGAAGGAGAAGGGAAGAACCATCAACAAAGAGGAAGAGATTGAAATTTGAGGGCCACCGCCTGTCCCAATTTGGAAGCCGACGACAGCCCCATGGTTAATTTGAAATTTGAAAACTCTTCTCGTTAGAGAGAAGGCAGAGGAAGGAAAGGTAGAGAGAAGACTCGATGCAATTAGTCATAATCAAATATTGGGTGCATTTGACTGTTTTTATCTTGGTGTTGTGAATAAGTAGAAACTTAATTATTACAATGCATATAACTATACCTAGACACATGGTCGAGATAGCACGACATAATTAGATTATACCATGAAGACAATGTATATGGATCGGCCATGTACAAGCATGAATGCTTCATGGGTCATACCAGACTTAAATTTTAAGGGCTCGCGCACAAGTGCGAGCATTTATGGAGAAATGCGTTATTTGATAAAAATAAAACAAAATATTCTAAAAATAACATACAAAATTTGAATTAATGAGTAGTTTCTCACATCAACATGTCCCGGCTCATATTCTATAGGGTTTATAAAATACATTCATTTTTTATTTTGATACTCAAACCTTTTTCAATGTATAGAACTAAAAATTCATTTATAAAATCATTCTTGATTAACTTAATAGCTAAAAAGTCTTTTTTACGGCTAGCAGTAATAACAAATAACGTCAACAAAAACTTTTTTTTCCCGTTGAATCAGTTCTTCTCATTAATAAGTAAAAGCAAGAGTCTGATACAACGAAGGGACAATACAGTCAACAATAACTTTAGAAGCAAGTAAAGTGAAAAGAAATTGTGATTTAGTATTTCTTTGTAAATTTGTGTGTGTTTGGGGGGGGGGGGTGTCTAAAAAAATTAAGAAAGGGTTGAAATGCATATATCATTTGTTTGAATATTGCATATTGAATTTTAGTATTGAACATTTTAGAAGCGATATATAATTCTTAAATTAGTATTAATTTTCAGCCTGGTTGACCAATAGCCTTAGACCTTTTGCTAATCTGACATGGATCCAATAATCATAAGATGAGATTTAGTTGATATGGCGTCGATAAAACCATTTTTTTTATGTGTAATGAATTTGTACGACAAATACATGTAAAGTGAAGATGAACCTGATTATGCATTTTGATTCTTTATATAAATACAATGGTTTAAGGCTTTAAGCTATAAACTAACTATACACTCACTCGATTGGTTTAAGAGTTATGTTTTTTTATCACTTTTAATAATTAGTTTATTCACAAGCTATCAAGCTACTTGGCTCCATCGATGAATAAGCAACAATCTATTCGCCAGGTTTCAGGTGCCCTGATTCACACTATCGACTGTGAATGGAGAAGAAGCATTTTGAATGCAAAATTGGAGAACTAATTGAGTTGTTTCTAGGTTTCTCTCGATAACAGGCGGTGGGAAGAAAGAGGAAGGGAAAAGGGGGAGAGTTGTGAGATACAAAGCTGGGAGGGAGATGGAAGAACAAATGGAAAAACAAAGAGGAAGGCAAATGAAGAGTGAGAAGACACATTTAAAAGAGGACGAAAATGAGGTAATGTGAAATAATTGCACTTTTGCTTTGGTTAATGGATATTCTTGGCCCTGTTATGTTGAGTTTTGATTTATTTTAGGAAATGACATTATATTTGACATATTTTTCTATTTCAATTTAAAATCCTAAATCAGTATTATCATTTGGAAGATGTATTTTCCTTAATACGATTATTGTAATTTCTAAGATATAAGCGGTATTTGATAATGTCAATATTTTAGTGATTTTTTTTATTTAAGGTTTGTATTGAAAGATCGTACTTACCGGTGGTTAGACAATAAAACTTCACATCATAGGCTGAATCGATAGGTGATATTTAACAATATGAAACGGTTGAACCACAGTTAAATTATGACTACAGTATAAAATACTCTACTAACTTTTTTGATGCGATTTTACTATCGTTTGATTCAAACAATTCTTTTACACTGGTTGAAACAAAAGTTTTAAGGCACATTTTGAACTATCTATTGCAAAAAAGCATAAGTTAGTTAGCGATAATGAGAATATGTGATCTCATGCAACCGAAAAGACACTTCACAACTTTTATATTTTTAAAATAAATGTACGCTACTCATACCCTCGCTCATTCATCAACTTAATGAGTAACATATATTTCATGTAATATTATTTTCATACATTTTTATTTATTGAATTATTTCATGAAAAAATATTTGTTGCATGAAAATTACTATATTGTTGCTAGACATGTCTGCGATCTGAGAATAATTTGGGAAGTCCGTACACAATACATTCTCCAACTAACTATTAGCGACAGTTTAGCATCATGTCTTATATATTTAAAATCAAACAACTTAATATTCATTACCAACAGTGTGGTAAAAAAGAATGCTCGCTATTGAGAAAAACTTAAAGGACATACTAACCTCTATGAGACATTTTCTTTCATCCTAAAGGTTGATTATGTATGTATTATAAGAAACAACTATAATATTCAACTATATGGTTTAATTAAGTAATGAATGACAATTAGTTATATTTTTTCATTCAATAATTATATGTAATCTTTATATTATATTTTTTCTCTTCTCATGGAGGTCTAAACACATTATGCATAATTGGATCACTTTCAAAAATGTTATTTGCATAACTAAGTTAGAAAACAATCATTTCATGCATTTCAAATAATCTATTATATCCATTAATATATACCATATTTCTCAACAAAATTTTCCGGACAACAAAATTTTCCGGACAACGGGCGGACACTGTACTAGTCATATAAGTGGCAATCAAACTAGCAATTAATTAGAACGAGTAATCCAATCCGAGCAAATACGATTTGCCACGAGAATGACATTTAGTAAACTCGAGTCCTCAGTTGTTCTCAAATAGATACATTTCACGAACGTATTGGTTGTTCAATTGAATCAAACTGAAAGATCCTCGTTCAATTATCAAATCCAGAAGGAGAACATACAGGGTAGCCACACTGGATCATGGATATTGAAGAAAAGACGATCCCCATGGGATGGGAAAAGAGACGGATAGGATTAGGAAGAACCATACGAAAGGTATTACTATTGCGGCAAGTTTTAGTTTCTTGATCTGTCTCGGAAGCTGGAATTTAGTTCCAGCTCTTCCCATTTCTGGTTCGACGTGAGAAACAAGACATGTAAGAAGGGCTTTGTGTTGGCACAGCATAGAACTGCTGCAGACTCATCAGCATTCCATAAAGATGGTCCACGGGAAAGTGCAGAAGCCTGAAGTTACGGCGCCGTACATTTCTTCGACCACAATTTTTGCACTCCTTTTAGTCTTTTACACTCGGCTTTGGTGGAAGCAACACTAACTCTGTGAAGGTTCTAAACAACTCACAAGGGTCTCGAGCTTGCCGCTGCTGCACAAACACTGGATTGATGATTTAAAGCATAAGAACATAATGAATGTCAGATTCCGCAAAGATAAACTCGTCATCGAAGAATCAATGATGAATCGGACAAAATATAAATTCTCTATATGCAAATGATATGTGTTTATATAGGGATGGCAATCAAACTCATGGTCGCGGATACCCGACCGCCTCCGAGTCCGACCCATTCAACGCGGGGAATCCCCGTTTTAATTGGTTATGTGGGCGTGTATGAGTAAAACCCGCAAAAAAAAATTATGGGTATGAGTTTGAACTCCCCCGCTCTATATCCAAACCCACCCCACCAAGGATATTATGTTATATATGCATAAAATATAATGAGTTTATTGTAACCTCTCAATAAAATGAAGGGTAATTAAAAGCAAAAATAAAGTGTTAAAATGTAACTGATGACAACCAAACCGTAATTTCGTTTTCTTATCTATTAGTTCCATAATTTTGGGCGGGTAGTATCATATTTGTCACCATATTCTTTTATTAATGATGAGTAGTTGATGGGGCAGGTATTACCCATGGGTATCCGAAAACCGCGGATATGAGGATGAATTTGTAAAACCTTTCACCGCATGGTGTATGGGTATTTGAAAATGAAGATGGAGTTGGTTTAGGCAAACCCGCTCCTTTGCTATCCATATGTTTATATGATCCGGAGATGGCTAACTGCTACTACAGCTGATTTGTATCAGTATCTGATAACGATGTATTTGCACGTGTTTGCTCCCTTATTTCTTATCCGTTTGCGGCCAGTAGTCGTGTATCTTTGGCCTATTTTACGTGCTATTTTGTCACATTTCAGGTCCCAAGCATCGAAGGGAAGGCTAGACATGAGTTTCGGGTAGTTCGGTGAGGCTGGAGCAAAAATACGGGCAGCCATGACCAAAACACGATCGTGTTCCTCAGGCCGTGTTTTTACTGCCGAGAGCGTGGGCGGGAGGGCTGTTTAGGGTCCAAAACACGGCCGCCATGGGACCAAAACACGGTCGTGTCATTTCATGGGCACGGCCGTGTTTTGGGAGCGACGTGAGCGTGTTTGCCTTACTTGAGCAAAACACGGCCGTGCAGAGGCAAAACACGGCCGTGTCCTCGACCGTGTTTTGCTAAATCTCGGATTAAAGAAAGATTTCAGCCAAGGAGAGAGGGGAATCTAATTTTGTGAGCTAGAGAGCAGAAAACCTAGAGAGAGAAAGTGACGAACAGAACTTCCAAGTGCCCTAAATCGATCTTCAACACCATTGGAGCTCGGTGGAAGCTTGAAGGAGTGCCGATTGATTACCAGAAGCAGAACCTCATCCTTCACAGTATGAATTCCGCATCTGAAGCAGATTTTCCTTCACTCTCTATGAAGTAAACTTCCTTTCTCACCTGAGTATGAAGAACTCTAGATTTGTATGTTAGGTCTGATTGTATGAACCCAAGTACGAATTCTTTGATACTGATTATATTCAATTGAAACATGATTTTCTGAATTGCATGAATCATGATCAAATTCCTGTTATTCCTGCTTTGACTTAGAATGAGAATATCTGCCTAGGTTGATAGAGCACCCTTAACTAAAGGTAGGGAATTGACGACTTTAGTCGAGGAGTCAATTCACTATTCTGTACTGGATTTATTCCGGTAGAGGAGGTTTGGTATGTTAGGGCCTCAATCTGTTTACTCCGCTGAAGGTTAGTCGCCTGCTGGAGACTCAGATTGAGAGGATCTAGAGACCTTTAGTCAAGACTGCAGACTGTTTAAGAACCTCCCGCAGTATAATTATCATTGAATCTGAACTTGGCGAATTACAATTTGGCTTAACTGCAGTCTATGGGGAACCATATCTGGGTGACCTTTCTCAAACTTGGCTTCACTACAGGTTAACCGCTAAATAATAAGAATCTCACGGAGTAGTCATCACACCTAGGACCCGGGTTGACATTTAGAACTAAACCCGCTATACTACGCATTAGTAGGTGGTTACACTTGGGCACTTTCTAGTATGACGGTACAAGTGAGTCAGTATCCTACATGTCAACTTACGTATTCGTCTTTGCCCACTAACTAAAAACCTGTACCCTGAAATCTTAATGTCAAACACCTTTCCATCATGGTAAATTGCGTACTTTGATCAATGTAACCTTTCCCTAGGAAAGAATACCCATGATTCATGGAGGAGCGTCATTTTCCTTTGATCAAACAAGGCCTCCAAATCTCCAATGGTTTTCCGTAACCAAAACAACCTATTTCATTTTCTTCTAATCTAAAAAATTCCCAAATGCCGTCCCTAATTCGGATATATTAAATGTTAAACTAATTCCTTTATTATGGACTGTTGGTGCTTGCAATGCAAACACTTAGCTGCCCGACTCATTGGGCTACAAGTGAAAGCAATCTTCTTAACCACTATATCATTCATGGTGACTATTTTCGGACTGATTACGCTAACGGAAGAAGAGAACAACAAGAAAGATGTAATGAATCCCATTACCCACCCCACACTACATCCTCCAATCTGCTGTCTCCTTTTCCTTCCCCGTTTGTTATATCTCATATATATTAGGTCACAGCAGGCATCATATAATATTAGGTGAATGATTAAGAAGACTCACGGAGATAATTTCAGCCAAGTAATTGCATGGTTGAATGGCTGTTCTTGAAATGCGAACACCAATCACACCATTGGACCTTTCCTCATCTTCTGTATAAAACCTTCGATAAACTTTAGCACCTGAATCAACAATGAAACATTTGTACTGTTATATACATTTAACAGTTAACATTGGATTTCACAAGGAGTCCGTGACATCCTAAATCGTTTTTTACCTTCATCGATGCTTTCCAGCCCAGGAAGGACTTTGTCAAGGCCCTCTGCTTCAAGCATCTCCGAGAAAGAAGTATATCGCTGTACACCCTGCGGACACAGCAAGGTAAAAAACGCTCATCAGGCACCGCATACAAGAAAACAGATTGGTTAAGTATAGGAAACTTTCAAGAAGCTTCTTCCATCACCTGAACGCGAACCACCAAGCACTTATTAAACAGGATCAATGCTCCGGGTTGAATTCTATGATCAATCACATAGATATTAAGTAGGAACAAAAGGGAAATTAACGGAACAAGTACAATGACAATGCACTATGATGATCGGAGCAGTCCACAGATATCTAACAGCTATATGTGAAACCACAAAACTTCAGGATAGGTACATTTACAAAATGAAACATAAATGAAGTCAGCAAGATATATCAATGACATGGACTGTATACAAGAAATAAAATGTCTGATGACACGAGGAAAACATCCATACTGGTTGTAGAAGCCTCTAGCACACCGTCCTTCAACTGTTTTCAATCCATCTAGAATGAAACAGCAACAAGCATTGTGAAAGACATTTGCTGGACACAAAACTCATTCAAATATCAAGAGACTCACTAACCTCTTAACTGTGTGAAGAATGGCTCCTGAACATGAAGATCGTATTCTATAGACGAGAAAATCTGAAAGGAGAAATGAAAAAAATGTATCGGAAAATTTCTATGGACAAAAGCATAACTCCAAAATGAGGACCAATATACTACCACCAACATTTGATATCCATACATTTGCCAGTTCAGTGGCCGTGGCCATGATTTGTGCACTCCATTCACCATTCTGTTTAGAGTCCTCTCCACGAGATACCCCACTAAAGTCTCCAGAAATTATATCTCCATATAAAGCTGATGCAAGGAGCTTGTATAAAGGCTGTGGGGGACGATTGCCTCTGCCTGTCAGATATTTTTACAAACAGATAAGCTTCAGTTGCAGCTTCAGAAAAGAAACAAATTTGACCATCACTCACGAGAATAAGTTTTCTGTGCGAGACCCAACTTGAAAGGTCCTCCGTATTCTAAATTTCTCGCCAAAATTTCTTGAGGTTAAGAACTCCCTAGGGACCAATCAGATAAAGAAACGCATTATTACTTCCTACTTCTGCGCTTGGAGATGTATTTTATAGACTTACTGGTGGCTGTGCCAGAAACAGCAGGGGAAGTTCCATCGTCATCATCGAGAAGGGCAGAGCAGAAGTCGATCGATAAGCCCAAATCCAATCCAGAGTTCCCGTTAATATGCGATTGAATAGTGAACTTAAGCAACTCGTCAATGGCGTCTTTGAGGTCAACTGACAATTTTCCTGGGGAGGACGGCTGCGCCATACCCTTTCACTCCAACCCTTTGCGTAATATCGCTGTTTCGCTACGAGACAACCTGTGTTCTTTGCAATGGAGATTCTTTGCTTCGCGCCTCAGGGGTACGGGGGAGCCCAAAATTAATAATCAGGATTCCGCCTTCATCAATTGGTGTTGCCAAACCGAAAAAGTTAAACTGCTCACAGCACAAAGTGTGAGTAGATACTCACTGAGAGGAGGGAGGTGGTGGGTACTTTTTTGGGCGAGCCGAAATTTTGGACGGAGGAAGTGGGCAGTTTTTGGGCGACCCGAAATTTTGGGCGGGAGGTGGGCAGCTTTTTGGGTGGCCCGAAATTTTGGGCGGGAAGTTGGAAAAGGAAGGAATAATTTGGGTTTGGTGGGGGCGGCCCAAAATTTTGGGCCGGAAGTTGAATATGAAGGAACAATTAGGGTCTGGTGGCTTGCAGCCTAGTAAGGGCTGCCCGCCGAGGGGGCCGAAGGCTCATAAAACAATTTTTTGGGCCGATATTAACATGACCTGACAGGATATGTTTTTGTAAAAGGACGAATATTGGTATGACATTATGAGATACTAGTCTAGGTTTTACAGATATTTGTTGACATGTGTTGGCATAATATCAATTCCTAATTTGTCAGCGTTGTCCGGATATTTATATGCTATTGTTAAATATTACTTTGTTTAGTTGAGATATTAATATTGGTTTGAGTGGATATTAGTCTGGGCACTAAACTCTTTCTCGTGCTTTGTAAATGTAGTTTGTTGGCTGAAAAAAGACGCAAGGAGACTGAGTCAGACTACAATGGGAAACAATCGGTTCATTATATTATGATGGAGGATAGCCCGTTCCTACAACATGCGGCAAAGGTCTTTACTCCTAACATCTTCAATCGGATACAAAATTAGTATTTGAAAACTGAACCCTATCTAAAGGTCTTTACTCCTTGTGCACGTACTTGCGCTGCAACTTCAGCATCTTCTTTTTCCTCTTCCTCCTCTGGCTGTGGCGGTGGTGACGGCGGTGGATTTCGTCGATGTCTCTTCACGTTCGTTTTATCCCTGCACGTACAAATATCCAGATATATCAAACAATTATCCAAGCAATTCACAACAGATATCATGCTGGTTAAAAACCAATATCCAGATATATCAAACAATTATCCAAGGAAATCACAACTGATATCATGCTGACAAAAACCAATATCCAGATATATCAAACAATTATCCAGGGAAATCACAACTGATATCATGCTGACCAATAACCAATATCCAGATATATCAAACAATTATCTAGGCAAGTCACAACTGATATCATGCTGATCAAAAACCAATATCCAGATATATCAAACAATTATCCAGGCAAGTCACAAATGATATCGTGCTGATCAAAAACCAATATTCAGATATATCAAACAATTATCCGGGCAAGTTACAAATGATATCATGCTGATAAAAACCAATATCCAGATATATCAAACAATTATCCAGGCAATTCAGAACTCATATCATGTTGATTAAAAACCAATATCCAGATATATCAAACAATTATTCAGGCAAGTCAGAACTCATATCATGCTGAGTAAAAACCAATATCCAGATATATCAAAGAAACAATCCAAGCAAAATACAATGGATATCCATAATCAAAATAAATAATATCGGAACGCACACAAAACAGGCAGTGGTGATGGCTGTCGTGGAGTCGGTCGGCTGTTTCCTCTTGGTTGTTTTAGTCCTTGCCATTGATAAATCTCTGCACATACAAATACCTAGATCCTATCAAACAACTATCCAAGAAAGTCCTAACTGATATCATCCGCATACAAAACCAATATCAAGATACATCAAACAGCAACCCAGGCAACAAACAACGAATATCCAGAAGGAACAGAATGCATATCTTGCCGAACAGAACAAATATCGGAAGGAACACAAAGTATAAATAAGACAGTTACCTTAGTCCAAATAGTAGTTCTTTCTTCAACGACCGCCGTCAAACCAAGCTTCGTCGCCCTTCGTCGCCGCCGATTCGTCTGCAAAGTCGCCGCCGTCAACACAAGCCTTCGTCGCCGCCGTCAACACAAGCCTTCGTCGCCGCCGTCAACACAAGCCTTCGTCGCCGCTGAAATCCCGCCCTTCGTCGCGGCTGAAATCCCGCTTCGCTCGCCGCCGCTTTGCTGGTCCGTCGCCGCCGCTTCGCTGCTTTGTCGTCGCCGCTTCGCTTGCTTATTCGTCGTTTTCATGAGAGGAGGAAAGTGAGAGAGAGGGGAAAAGTGGGAGAGAGGGGAAGTCGAAGTGGTTCTGGCGGAGAAACTGAATTGGGGAAAGAATAGGTTTGATTTTTGAATTTTGAATTTGTGGGCTTGGTCAGCCGTGGGTTCGGCCAGCCGACCCAAATCGACTCTCACCTTCCTCAACCCAAACCGGCGCCATCTTACTCTCGCTCACGTGGACAATGGATCCACCGTGTGAGTATCTACTCACACTTTATGCTGTTAGCAGCATAGCTAGATTGTGCCAAACAAAACAATTTTATCCAATGGCTTTATTTGGATGCAACTCAGCTATTCCTCGTCCAAATAATCCCTTAGGTATTGAAAATATTTGAATTTATAAGGAATTTTGTGCATTATCAATTTGTACGACTGTGTAACATGGAGTGTGAATCCGTCTGTTTCTAAAAGACAAGAATGACGGGCAAATGTTTGAGATTCAAGATCGTGACTTCCCAAAAGAATCACGAACGTGATTCCCCTAAAGATCATAAGTGAAACAACAAGTTTTGGAGAATCACAAACAGGAACACGAGAACCACTGTCATGATTCCTTACTATGATTTTTCCGCTGACGGGTATTAAAAGGGGTCTGCAAATTTTTAAGAACGGGATTCGAGTTTTGCAAACATAAAATAAGAGGAAGAATTCTAAAGAGAGCAACTTGAGATCATTCTTGTAGCTGTTTTAGAGGATCCCATCGTCATTGGAGTACGGGAATCAAGCCTAGGATTGGAGATTATTCATCAGAAGATGAATTCCATCACCTCAATATTTTATTTCAGGTTCTCTTTCGTAGTTCTTCGTTCTATATGGAGTAGACTCATTTCTTACTTGGCTATTGATAACACCCAAAATAGTATTATGTACCCTTTATTTATCTGTGTGTTTATGTCATTTTGAGCATGATTAGATCTATATAACGTCATTTGTCTCGAAAGCTTCCTTTTGTAATATTATGAGTAGGAAAAGGGGCAGACAAGAAGTTCGCAGCCAAAGGAGTAGGATCACGACCAAGAAACTCAACCGCGAAGTCAAGCCCAAGATCGCTGGCGGAAGAAGGAAGATTACGACCGCAATCTCAGCGCTCCCAATCGCGAACTTCATCAAGAGGAGTCAAGAAGAGAGCAGAAAGTTTCGTTAGGCGGATCGCAGCCGCCATTATTTGAAGTTGATAGAAAGATCACGACTGCGAGTCAAAGTTCATGGCCGCGACATCAGGGCGCGATCTCCCACCTTTCTCGGACTAAGCAATGGAGCTGCTAAATTGCGGGCATCACGACCAGTTCATGGCCGCGATCTATCACCTTGAATCGTGAACTTGCCCGAGATTTTCAAAGTCAATAAATAAAGGAGTTTATGGAGGAAGAAGGAAAAGTCGACCTAGAGTGAGACAAGTAGGGTTTTGGGTAGTTTTTAGAGATGGAAACACTTGGAGAGAGCTTGGGAAAGGTCTAATCTCTCCACAGAGCAAGGAGAAGGTGCAATCCAAGGAGAAGAAGATGATTTTCGACACTTCTCCTCTTCTTAGTTTCTATTTTTCTCTATCTCTCTCTATGACTTGAATCCCGATGGTTGTTTTGAAAAGATGAACCCTAACTTGTAGATTGTTGATGAGTCATGTGTATGAATGATTATGAACCTATAATCTATGTCTTATTTTATGTTTGTGCATAAATCTCTTGCTTGATTGTGATTGGTTTGTTCTTAACTTAGGTGAGAGTTCTATCCTCTTAGGTCAAGATTAGCATAAGCATCAATTAGTGTGGGATTGTCTGTACCTGGTTTTCCTTAGTTGCAACCTAGATAATAGGGGATTTATGATTAACTTTGATATGAATTAATGGTATGATTGGGTTTAATTAGGGTGCTTAATGCTTCTTGTTAGGGTTAGATGTGTGTGAATGCTTCATACCTGGATTGGATGAGCGAAAGGGCTAGCTAGAGGTCGAGGTGACCACCACCTTCTAGTTAGATTCTCACCTAGTTGATTCTGGACGATTATTTGCATGACCATCGACCTACCGACTTGTGTGAGGATGAATTTAAGCCGCGTAGATGAGGTAGAACCTATCCATAGTTAGGTAACCCGATTGAGGTGACATTGTACCGGCTATCCTAGCTATGAGGAAGATTGATTTCATGACCATTGAGTCGATCCCCACCTTTTTGACCTCTGCACCTCAAGATACCATTCGATTATCAATCGTAACAACCTATAGCTAGAGGGAAGCAACCTCTTTCAGCCTGCTGGAGTAAGACTCACCAACCACAAAGGGGGGATCTAGATGTGTCAAGGACTCCTAAAGAGCCTCATCCTTGAGCTTCTTCTCACTCCTCTGGTAGGGGCGTCCTAGGGCAATGTGGGATAAGCATCCATGGTGAGAGTTGATGCTAGGGATGCCCAGCTTCATTGTGAATTCATGATAGTTGTCATAGAAAGCTAGTCCTCCGAGGCGGTATCGGATGCAAGGAATGCATGATCTCTTTCCCTTCTTAATAGAGAAGGAGGCCAAGAACTCCCGTGTGAGTACTTAAATTTTGGTGCTCTGATGGCAAACAAATCAGCTAGATTGGCAGCTTGAAGCCAGTAAAAAATCACTTGGCCCCAACCTTGGTAGAGGTATAGGTCCTCTCAGTCAACCGACGTGATTGAAATTTAACAACGAATCCATGTCGGGGAAAGAAGAGTGTTGTGGCACCCTGGTCTGAGGTCCTGGCGGTGCCTCCTCCTCAAACTCGATGACCAGCTCATCATCCGTCTCCATGATGATAGGATCATCATCATTAGAGTGGACCACCTCCTGGTCATATTGATGGGTTGGCCAAAACGCCTTGAATGAAGCATCCTCGTCATGCTCATCAACCATGTGGGCTCCTGGAGGAGCATTGTGCCAATGGAGGCACGCACATCGTCTAGGCACTATGTTGTGGTGCCCAGCTCTAGGAGAACCAACCTCAAACTCCACCACCATTGAATCCTCAATTTGATCTCCTCTCCTTCAAGAGGACGAGGAGGAGGACCCACTAGTCCTTGTGAGTTTCTTGAAGAACTTTGTCATCCTGCACTCAACCCAACATACGAGATATGAAAATTAAACAAACATAAAGCCTAATCTTGAAAAATATCCTTTATGCAATAAATATACAAGCTCGAGATATTTATGCAAAAACTCACCCTAATAGGGCGACCCAGGACTGCAAATAATGCCTAAACAAGCAATTTTCAGCAGTATCCTGAATTTGCGTAGCTTGACATACTTTGCTACAAAGGATCTAGGATTATCAAAAGAGAGGTAGTGGATATGCGAGGAGGTCCAACGAATCTAGCTATCATAAAATGACCAAATCAAGGATTCGAAGTTCTTCTATGGACTAGTATTCAAATGATGTATGGCACATATCAAGTCAAGTTCGACCAAGGTTTGATACCCCAAATTGTACAAAAATGGAGGATCAATGTAAATTATAATCAAACTACATAAACAAACACAAGCTTTAGTCATCTAATTCATGATTGAAGTAAAGACAACCGTCTTAATCCATAATCATAGTGGTTAAGTAGAATGCATATGAATTAAGCAATTCCATCATATAAATTCAAAATCCCATAACTGTATGCCAATCAACCATACATTCATCATCAATTTGACTAAAAGGGGACTTAATCAGAATTCTAAGGTTAGGCATACACGGTTTGAACCCTTTCCATCATTCAATCATACAATCCTTCATCATATTCAATCATTTAAGCACCTGGTCATGTCTTGAAAAGTGGGTTACATACCTTCTAGCCATTGGAGTGCAAGAATTGGTGAAATTTGAGGAGAGGGAGCTCCTTTGGGTGCGGGGGCCTTCGTAAGTGAGGAAGGCTCTCAAATCTTCAATTGGTGGCTTGGTTGATGGATGAAGCTTGGGAGGGGTGAAAGAAATGATGGGTAGTGGTGTTGTGGTGATGGATTGAAGGATTGGTGAGAGTTATGGACTTTTAGAGAGGTCGTGGAAGAGGATTTCGACAATGGAGGTAAGGGAAGTTCTCCAAGGGAGGATATGGCCAAAAATGAAGAAGGGGGAAGCGAATGCGGTCAACTCAGACTCCCTCAAATTGGTACTTCTAGTGCTGAAATGCAGCAATGAGCGCCATTTTGGATGCCATTTTTGGTTTGACATTTTTTGGTTGCCCCACCTGGCTGTATAGCTTGGAATTGGTTTTAATGATGTTCCGATGCATGGGCAGACGATAAATAGCATAGGAAAAGCTGAAAATAGCAGATGCAAGATGTATCTGACTATGAGCATTCATCCAGTAGTATGCGAAATTGCTGGAATCCACAATTCAACTAACTAAATCAAAAGCCTTTTTTTGTTGAATGACCAATCCTTCAAAAAATAACAACGAAAAATAAAACAAAAATCATGGCTCTCTCTGTATTACTTTTGTTTAACGTCTTTAAGTTAGACCAACACAAGGGATGCCTCTGATGAAGCACTCCTTCTTTTACGCCTTTGAGCTAGGCAAAGTAGTTGAATTAATCGAAGCGCCAACCATTGCAACTATGAGACTTCTTCTTATATAGTCCATTGAAGAATTCATGCGGGTGGATGAAAAATCCATCAGGTGGTAGAGATTCTTGCGTTAGGATCATTCTTTTTGAGTGATCTTGTTGATCCTGCGCGTCTAACAAGAGTTCTTTATGAAGGGAAGCTTTGAAGAAATCCCCATATGGTCCTGCCTATATTAGAATATTAGGTGATTCTACTCCCAGAATAGGGGTTAGGTCATCCTCATCGTCTTGTGGGGTGTTGATGAGGTCGTCAGTTGACTCGCTGTTGAAAAAAGATATCTATCATCGATGGGTCATGGAATGAGTATGAAATGCTCCAAGCTTCCTACCTTAAATATGTTTTTTTTGTGTTGGGACGTCAATCAATATCATAGAAGAGGCAAGAAAGGTGTCACCCAGAATGACGGAGCACGTTTAGTGAGAAGGCATATCCATTACGGCGAAGTCACACATGAAGATCAGAGGTCTTAAGGAGACCTCCAAATCACGTAGCAAGTCACTGGCATAACAAACGGAGCCATAGACTAGTTGGATACTGATTGATGATGGCTCCACCTCATCACCTCCTAGTTCCTTGTAGGTTCTGGTTGGCATGACGTTTATGCT